AATTTGTTTTTTGTTTCTCGCTTTTCGTCTCTTGGAGCCGTCTTGGGCTCTATTGGAGCTTCTCTTGGGGCCTTTGGGGCCTCTTTGGGGCGTCTTGGGGGCGCTCTTGGAGCTCGAGCGCTCTTGGGGCCATGAGGGAATATATATCATCAAGAAGGGGGGTTTAATTTAGCTCGCCCTCTAGAGTGCCTCGGATCGCCTCTTGGGCCCCCCCAAGAGGCCAAAATCCTTCCAAATCTAAGTAACATCAATGTTTTCTGTTTTTCGCTTTTCGTTTGGGCAGTCTTTGGCCTCTTGGGGTCCAGGTGCGGAAGCCCGTCCTGGTCAGTGGGGGGGGTAATGGGGGGGTAAACCCTCCGTTGAGATAGGGAAAGAAGGGGGGTTGGCAGAGGAAACGCTCTAGACCACCTACGCCCTAAAGGGCTGGTGGGATTATACCCAAACCCGCATGGATTGACCACTAAATTTGGTATGCTCGCCACAGGGGAAGAAACGAATCTTATCAACCCGTTCCAAACGGTTTCGTTCGTCTTCCGCGAATTCCACATTGCCCAGTAAAGATTTATAATTCTGAAACGCTCAAGGCCGAACTGTATTCAAGAATGCCAAGGACCGACCATGCTCCCACCAATGTAAGAACCCCGGAGTTGCGTTCAATTCGAGAAGAAAGTGAATATTCAGACGGAGACCTGTAATACCACGGAACCACATTCCTCGAGCATTTGCGTCGAAAACTTCCGAATGCAACATGTATTGTCAATGGCACACTTGTGGAAGACATGGGCGCGAAATGTACTTGAACATTAACAAACAAATGGCAATGGAAAACCGCGAAGGTGTCAAAAACACCGTGCGCCCTCGGCGTACCGAGGCCCGACGCACTCGGAAATTCTCAAAAATGGAAACGCACCGAAACCCACTAAGTGGGAGATCGAATAAAAGGAATGGCAAGGCAAAAACATTCCTACCTAAGCACCCCTTGCACCAGACAAGAGGACAACAATTTAGGCACACAAACGCCCACCGAACAGCGTCCCCGCTAAATGGGGCACCTGTCGGTATTGCGGACGGCCGCTGCCCCAAAAATGGTGCCGCCTTGCAGTGGCAGCGCGGGGGCGTGACTCCCCGAACCAAACGATGCCGCGGAAGTGCGCCCTTTGGCCGCCTGGGTCAAAACAAACCCCAATAAGGCCTACTACGATTACATGCACATGCTGCTACTACCGTAATCACCATACTCAAACCCATACAGTTGAGTTGGTGTTCCGTGCTGCCGCCTTGGAATGATTCGAATATGAGGAGGGCGAAACCTTTCGGTTATTTGGAGATCTGCCGTTGCCGTGATTCAGTATCGTAATTTTAAGGTCGGCATTTTCGAAATCTTGTTAGCACGGCACTTGAACGATTCCATATACCTTGTCGAGGAAATCGCCGATATTGACGTTCTTTTATGAACAAGTTGTCAATTCTTCACCCGTGCACAAGGGTAGAAGATTTGTCCGCCCGCCCCTTGATCAAGAACATTTTGAGAGGAGCGCAGAAGCGTCAATAACGGATTCAACCAACATTTTTCGTATTCTGTCTTTCTGGTATCCGTATTAATGGTTTGTGCATCCATGCATGACCATATCAACATCTATCCGTGCAAATTTCTGTTTGTTTTTGCTCACACATATATATACACACATACATGTATATATATATATATATATATATATATATATATATATGTATATGTATGTATATATATATAAAAATAAAAAAAAAAACATATGTACTTACCGGTTACTTTGTCCAACCGCATTGGTTATTATATATACTCGAATGTGCTTTAACAAAAACAGCTTCAGTGGGAGAAAAAAACATTAATCATTCAACAACGCGTTGTCGAACAATTGCTGCGATATTTAACAATTATTTTTTTTTCATTTGTTGTTACAACTCTACGCGACGGCGATATGCTGAACCATAAAGGCATTAAATTGATTAACACGTTTTGTCTTGCTCTTTCTATTGAAAACCCATGTCCCAACTCCCCACCTGGACCTAGAACCAGGAAAGGGTACCAAGGCGATAGAACGACCAAAATGATCCAATATTGCTCCACCTCCAAGATGCCCCATAATATTCAATATTCATTTAAGCAGCCTCCATACACGGAAACCGGTGCAACTTAATAAAAAATCGGAGCCACGAAACGTCTGAGTAATGCGACGACACGGGTAGGGATGACGAATGTTGGCGGTAGGCTGGGGCCTTCTGTGGAGCTCATTACAGGGCCACGAAACGTGCAAAGCCATTATGGGAATGGGTGACGCACATGGGCGGTGGCATTGTAGCCTTCCGTGAAACTCCTTCTGGGGCCATGAGGCGTATGAAGGGTGTCACGAAATGTGTGTGGGTGACATGTGGGCGATAACGGTGGAACCCCCATGGGGCCACGAATTTCAGCAGAAATCTGACGGCACGGTTGTGGGTGACGCGCACGGGCGGCATCATTATGGCTTTCAATGTACTTCCTATGGGCCACGAAACGTGTGAAGGATGTACCGACATGAGTGCGGGTGACGCGCACGGGCGGTGGCACTATGGGCCTTTGGTAGCAACACGTTCTATTAAGTAGGTGGAACGCAACGAGAGAGAGGGGGGAAAAACACGGGAAAAAAAAGGAGATGCTGGGACCGCCTCTTCAAAACGAGAAGCCAATACCTTAAGCCAATTGGGAAATATAGAAACCGGGAAACCCGGGTCCCGTGATTGAAACCAGCATCCGCAATTACGGAAACCGATTTTTTGTTATGGAAACCTTTTTGTCTTCAAATATGTGGTTTGTGATTCGTCGCGTACAATGTATGATTCAGTCTATGTTGTTTAGGATTCGTCGCGTACGGTCAATGATTCAATGTATGCTATTTAAGATTCGTTGCGTGCTGTCTGTGATTCGTCGCGTGCGGTTTCTGATTCAATGGATGTTGTTTGTGATTCAGCGCGTGCTGTCTGTGATTTAATGTGTGATGTCTATGATTCGTCGCGCGTGGTTTGTGATTCAATGCGTGCTGTCCGTGATTCGGCGCGCGGTCTGTGATTCAATGATTCAGCGCGCGCGGTCTGTGATTCAGCGCGCGTAGTCTGTGATTCAATGTTTGGTCTGATTTGGCACCTGCCGTTTAGATTTCAAATCCATTTCCCTTCGCTCCAGCGGCCATCGGCCGCCAAAATTGTCAATGGGTCAGAATTGGGCGCCCACCTAAAATTGGGTCAAAATTGGGTCGCAACCGGCCGCGCTAGCAAATTCCTAAACCAAGAAACGCCCACATGAAAATCGCCGACACACATACCCGGCGGCTTCCACGGAATTTCCATTACGGTATTACGGCTTGCTGAACAATCAACGCGACCCTTTTGACCGTAGCTCCGGCTTTGGATTTTTCCCTTTCCCAATGCCTTGCGCTCGCCCTGCGCATTTCTATGTGTGTTATCCCACCAGCCCTCTGGGCGCAGGTGGTTTAGAGCATTTCCTTTTCCAACCTCCTTCTTTTCCCTGCTCGGGAGGTCTACCTCACCCCCCTCCCTGGGTCTGAAAGGGGAGGGGCCCGAGGGGTTAGAGCGTCCATGGCCAAAGACAGCTCCAAGAGGGGTTCAGATAACCTAAGATGGCCTCCAAGATGGCCTAAAGTACTTCGAAATGGCTCAGGATAGACACGTATCCAAGAAGCCTGAAGACGCGGCCCCAAGACGGTTTCGAATGCCTTCCGAGCCCTCCAAGGACCCCCCCCAAGAGGCCAAAATGGGTTCAACACCTACGGAACATACATATGTTTGCCTTTTCGCTTTTTCGCTTCCAATGGGTTCTTGAGGCGTCAAGATGGCCCCAAGATGGCGCAACATAGCGCCAAGAGAGGCCCAAGAGAGCCCCAAGACGGCAACAAGAGCGCCCAAGAGCGGTCCAAGAGGGCCCCAAGACGCTCCTTTTGGGCCTCCGAGGGGACCTGAATCTAAGACCCCCTCTTTTTGAGCGAAGGGGTCCAAGACGGCCCCAAGAGACCTCACAGACACCCCAAAAGAGCCCCCAAAGGGCTCCAAGACCCATCAACAAAAAGCTCTAAGAAGGTCCCAAGGCGGCGCCCAGAGGACCCCAAGAGGACCCCAAGATGGCACCCAAATGGCATTATGAGCCTTCGAAGAACCCCTCACCACGACATATACCCAAAGCCCGACTTCTCGTCCTCATTATCATCGTCCGTTCCTTCCTTACTTCTTTCCTGCCGCCTCCTTGCTCCTCTTCATCCTCCTCGCGCCGCGTTCCTCCTGCTCCTCCTCCTTCCCCTCCTCCTTTTCTTCTGTTTTTCCTCCTCCATTTGAAACTTCAATGTGGGGAGCTATTTGTGATCCTCGTTTTTCTGAAAACGGCCGCGCAACTGCATGCTTCCAGTCGTCCCTGATTCACCAAGTTCCCTGCTGATCGTTTCTGGATGGGCTGGTGGAGATACCCGAAACGTCAAGAATTTGAACAACATCCGAACTCATTCTTATGTTCGGTCGTCCGAACTACAACGAAATTGATAATGACATTGCCCATCCATCCGTTCCTTATTCCTTTCACCTCCATGCTGCATGTTTTGTCATCACTAATCCAGCACGAACTACAACATGAATTACACAAACCATATTTCGGATGCCCTGACACATCGGGCTTGCCAGGCCATCGTGCGTGTACATTGCATGGTTTTCGGAGTAAGTTTGGAACGCTTTGGGCTTGCCAAATGGCTTTGCGAGGCCATCCCCCCGAACTGGTGGCACCGGGGCATCTCTGCGGGCGCGCGCGGAACGAGGTGCCGGAAAAAAAACGACCGATGCTACCAATGCTGCTGGCCAATGGAAATGGTCCGGGGAAAAAACATGCGCACAATGACCCGTCATTTCTCCCCCCTACCGTTCAGCACGATTCAAACATTCGTGAACAAGAACTGACTCCTTTTCAGGAAGGGCGGGCCATACTTCCGATGGTATTTGCGCTGCCTTCACTCCTTGGGCCTGCCAGGCGGTCATGCGCATATGGGATTCCTATGTTGGAATGGCTTGCGACACTGCTGTTAGCCTTCGCCCTGCTGGAACGCCTCAAGTTTCACAGGCAATCCTGCGCAAGCCCGATGCCTACTTTTGGTTTTATCACATAGTCGAGAAGGGCGGAGCCGAGCCGCGCGTCCAAGCTGCAACGAAACTGATATGTTCAAACTGCGAGTAGGCAGCGCCGACCACTCTCGGTGTCGGAGCACGGTGCCGGAGAGCGGCCGGGCAGAACAACACCATGCTCTGCTCGTCACGCGGGGCCGCACGGGTGCGGGGTGCATGCTGCTCGTCAGCACTCGAGCAGTGGTTGTGTGCACAGGCGTGCCCCTTGGAGGCCACCCGTCCCACAAGTGGACGGGCGCCAAGGCTGTGGAGGGAGCAAGTGCCTCCTCCAGCCTCCTCCCCCTCCTCCCCCCCTCCTCCTGCCCTTTCTCTCCCCCCTCCTCTCCATATTTTGCTCTTTCACCCCCTCGTGTTCTCAAGCCTCTCCTCCTGACTTTCTTCTCGCCCTCTTCTTCATATCCTCTCCTCCATTCGTTCGCCCCCCATCTTCTATATCCGCCACCGTGCCGCTAAGCACGGAGTGGGCGTGTTCTGAAATCCTTTTTGGAAGCCCGAAATGGGTACGGAAAGAATGGGTACAATGCCCAACAGCAGTTCCTGTTCATTCTGAACAAGACTCGCTGTCCACGCCGCCGCGGCCTGTGTCCATTCGAGACAGGAGGCCGCCTGCCCAACAGCGGCCGCTGTTGGCTTGGGACAACATTTGTTGTTGGGCATTGTACCCATTCTTTCCATACCCATTTCGGGCGTCCAGGAGGAGGAGGAGGAGGAGAAGGAGGGGGAGGTGACAGAGAAGGGAGAGGAAAAATGGGGATGAAGGCGAGAACGGGGAACGCGGCGAAGAACAAGCGAATCCCGAGCACAATCCCCTGAGTTTACAACCTTCAGTCCTCAGGAGCTCTCTACGGGCCCGGACGCACCACTGCCAGATTTTTCCTGGGCCTTCCCACGTGCCCCCTGGGGTTTGGCACGACTTCTCGCCTTATTTCTTCGCGTCGGGCCCCGAGAGGGACCAGGGCACTCAGAAACGCCCGAGACGGTCCAAGCCCCAGACGGCCTGAGAGGACTTCATGATGCCCCCAGAAATCTCTAAGAATCCCAAGAGGGCCACAACAGGCCAAACTCATTGATTCTCATTCGGTATTTGAAAGATTTTGGCGTCCTCGCTTTTTTCGCTTCCCGACGCTCCCAGACGGCCATAGGGGCGCCCAAAACAGCTCCAAAACGGCCCAAGAAGCATCCCGAAGGGCACCAAACCGGCTCACGAGGGCCGCAAGACAACCCAAGAAGCGCCCAAAACGGCCCAAAAGAGCCCCAGGACGGCCCCCAAAGAGACAACAGAAAACAACAAATCGAGCCTTCCGCCTCAAGGCGCGCCTGGATGCCCCAAGAGGCGCCCAGAAGGTCCTAAAAGGTTGAAATAATGGCGCTTACTACTAAGATGGTAGCGCTTATTGCTGAAACCATGGCGCTTGTTAACTAAACGGTGACGCTTGTTACTGACACGGTGGCGCGTAGTATTGAAACGATAAACTTATTTCTGAAACGGTGGCGATTGTTACTGAAACAATGGTTTTGATACTTACTAAAACTGGGGTCTCTTACTAAAACCGCTGTTTCCGTAATATTTGAGTGCGCATTTCGTGAAATCAAACATAAGCGCGTTGCTTTGTTTCCCACAAGCACCCTCGAGCTAAATACATGCAGTGTAACGAGGTGTTGGGTCCTCGTTTTGAAGAGGACGGCTCGCGTTCCCCTCCCCTCCTCCTCCTCCTCCTCCTCCTCCTCCTCCTCCTCCTCCTCCTCCCATCCCTGCCTCTGCTGTTAGCATGTCGCACCCATCGTCATCATCATCACAATCAACATCGTGATCGTCATCGTCACCGTCACCCCCGTTTCGGCACACCCTTCACACAATCAGTGGCCCCATAATGAACTCCAGCTAGAGCCCCGGTGCCACCGTCCGCCTGTGGGCGTCGTTCCGTTTCGGCACAGCCCTCACACCATTAGTGGTCCCATAAAGAGCTCCAGCTAAGGCCCTGGTGCCACCGTCCGCATGTGGGCGTCGGCACTACCATCACACGTTTCGTGGCCCCTATATGGGGCTCCACCTAAGCCCAAGTGGCACCGTCCGCATGTGGGCGTCACCCGCGCTTCGGCACACCCCTCACACGTTTCGTGGCCCCATAGGAACCTCCACCCAAAGCCCCAGCGGCACCGTCCGCATGTGGGCGTCACCCCCGTTGCGCCACAACCCTCGCGCGTTTTGTGGCTCCATGAGGAGCTCCAACTAATGCCCCACTGGCACCGTCCGCATGTGGGCGTCACTCTGTTTCGTGGCCCCATACGGAGCTAAGGCTCCAGTGGCGGCGCTCTGCATGTGGGCGTCTCTCCCGTTTCGGCACGCGCCCCACACGTTTCGTGGCCCAACTCCACCCAAGGCTCTGATGGCACCGTCCGCATGTGGGCGTCGCCCCCGTTTCGGCATCCTCTCACACGTTTTGTGGTCCCATAGGAACTCCAACTAAAGCTCCCATGGCACCGTCCGAATGTCGGCGTCGCCCCCGTTTCGGCACACTTCTCACAAGTTTCGCGGCTCCATAGGGAGCCCCAACTATGGTGGCACAGCCCGCATGCGGGCGGCGCCCTGTGAACTGAAACGGCCAATCTGTCTTCCAAATGGCAGATTTTCGATTTGAATCGGCTTCCGCACAGTCGATCTGGCCTCCTAAGAAAGAGTCAGGTTTCGTCCAGTGCGAGTTACGTCGGTCTCGCCCTGTCGATTTCGGCCGGCATCGGGCTCGCCCGGAACAATTTCGCCCATAACGGTTTCGCGCAGTGACGGGTTCACTGGGACAATTTCGCACCGGTCAAGTCAATTTCGCCCCGCGAAATGAACGTTTCGCCCGGCGACGGCGACGTCGACGGCGAAGCCGCCCAAGTTGCCGAACTGCTGTGGCCCAGCTTTCCGTGGTAGTGGTCTTCGCTGGCTGCATTGTTGGAAAAACCGGAAACTTACTGCAAGTTTGTTGTGTGCCTATGTTTTGGATGCCTTTTGTAATTTGTTCCGCTTTATCGTTGATCATGCTCCCCAAGTTGCCCATGCGCTTTTCCATGTTTCCGGATGCTGCTTCCAACGCCGCAACTCGAATGCTCATGTTCGCGAACTCTGGGGCGCATCTTCGTTCGACTGCTTCATCTCGTACCTCGTGTCCCGGACAGCGCGCATCGTGGGGGCCGAGTGTTGTTTTCGGACATATTTCTGATTGATTTCATTGTGACTGGTTTGTGGTCGTCCTCATCCACGCGATCTTCGTCGGATACAGGTCGGGCTTCGCCGGATGCAGCTGCGGCGCGCCCTAACTGGGGAAAAGGAGGTGATGCTGGAACTTGTGCAAGCGGTGCGTCGTCGTCCACCTTATTCAACGGGCTGTGCACGCGAGCCTCTTCGGCTTCTCGGGCGCCCCCGCGCGGCGTTTCTCTGCCGGCGCCCCCGCCCGCGTCGGTGGCGCGAAAAGGCCAGAACTATTGAATTACACATGAGTATAAGCGGCGCGCGTGGAAAAAATGCAAGTACTGGCTGACATTTGGGGCCAGAATGGCTTGAGCCAAAGCGGCGGAAAGAACGATTCAACCAATCCCGCGAAAAAGCTCGCGGCACCATTCGCCTTTGGGGGCCTCGGCGCGAAGGACTTGTTTGCGTCGCCGTTCGCTCTTGGGGGCCTTGGCGCGACGAGCCTCTGCGCGTCGTCGTTCGCTCTGGGGGCCGTGGCGACGATGGCTCGTTCCCTTCCCCGTTCGCTCCTGGGAACGCGATGCGACGCGCTTTTCGCGCCGTCGCTCACGCTTGGGGGGCCTCGGCGTTGGAGGCTTTTACGTCGCCGTTCGCTCTCGGGAACCTCGGCGTGGAAAACATTTTTCGGCGGCATTCACTCTTGGGGCCCTAGGAATTGAAAGCCGTTTACGCCGCCGTCCGCTCATGTGAACTTTGGCGTCAAGAGCTACTTGTGTAACCGTTCGCTCTCGGGAAGCTTGGCGTTCAGAACTGCATCTGCCGCCGCTCGTTCTTCGGGTCATTGGCGCTGATGAATTGTCTTCGTCTTCTTCTTCTTCTTCGCCGGCTCGCGTGGAAGACAGCGATCCAATCGCCCGGTGCGGGCGGGTGCCTTGGCGTCGAAGCTGCGTCCATAGGGGCCGTCTCGAGGGGGTCCTCTGGGGGCCATTCGGGATGTTTCGGGACCTTCTTTTGCATTCTTGCTTGGTCCTCCTGGGCTATCTTGATAGGCTTGGCTCGTCTCGGGGCCTCTTCGGCTCTCTTTTTCATGGCGGGCTCCCGCGGCGGGCGCTTCAGGCGCTCTCTTGGCAGCCTCCTGGGGCCCCTCTCGAGCTGTCTTTAGGGCGCTCTGTGGCAGTTCCGCGGCCCTGTTGGGCTGGCCGTTTTGGGGGCCTCGTGCCTCCTGCCTGGGCCGTCTCGGGGCAATCTCGAAGGCTTTGGAGCCGCCGTCGGCTGATCTGGGCCCGAAAAAATGATGGAACGAAAACTGGCCATGGCCACCCAGCTGCCTGTGCCCTGGCAAGCCGCGAAGCGGCGCAGAAAATTCCCCCATTTCACCCGCCGTCTCGTGGAAGGCCGCAAGATCCGCGTGGAACTGGGCTGCCGGCGGGCTGCTGCTGCTGCCCACTCGGCGCCCCGCCACGCGGTCGCGCGCCGCGCCTGGCTGGATAGACGCGCGCGCGTCGCGCGTCCCGCCCGCGACCGCTTTCGCGCGGCGCGCGCCTCGATCCGCTGTCGCGCGCCAGCAGCGCGTGCGTCTTTCAATGCTTTGCGCCGCGCGCGTCTCCCTGGGGGCGGCGCCGGTGCCTGCGCATGCGCCGAAACGTGACATTCTGAGCTGGTTTTAGAAATCATAAAATATCAACTCTCGGGGTCCATGCGCGCGTTCCATGGAGCGCGCTGCTGCCGCCGGACGAATCGAACAGCCGGAACTCCTTTCTTCTCGACGTTGCTTGATTGAGGAGAAGACGTTTCGTTGCCCAGAATTTTCGACGACCTGTTGCCAGTCTGCGCTTGATCTCGGAGGGCATGGCGTCCTCCAGCGGGGCCTCCAAACTCTCTCCTTCTGGCAAGACCTGCAGCGAGAAACCTGCGGTCAGCTCGACGCTGCCGCGCCGGGCCCAGTCCGCGCGATTGGTCTGCGCCTTGCACTTCGCAGGGTGCAACTGCAAGCCGCGAGCTCCCAACGCGTCTGGAAGCACCATGACCATTCGTTCTAAGGGCGCTCAATTTCTCGAAAACAACGTCACGTCGTCTGCGAACGCTACATGCGGTAATGTCTGGCCCTTCACCGCCTGGCCCACCAACGCGCCGTACTTGCGACGCTGCCAATCCAAACTCGCTTCTTCTAAAAACCTCTGTCGTTCGGACAGTGAACAACAACCGCCCTGGGGGCGCGGGATCTCCATGCCGAACGCCGCGCTGCACCTGAAAACGCCTGCTCTCTACGCCAGGCGCCAGCTGCGCATGCGCACTCATGCCCCTGCGCATCTTCCCGAGTACGCTGACAACGCCGGCGCCCGCGCCGAACCCCATCAGCGTGTCGAGCAGCTTGCTGTGATAGGCCTTATCGAAGCTTTCTCCACGTCCAGCGTTGAGAACCGCAGCTCTTCCCCGCACTCGGCCGATTTCTCTACGACCATCCTGGGGGCGTGCACCGCGTCGTCACAGCCCCTTCCACGGCGGAAGCCGTGCTGCTCGTCAGCGAACCTCGTCTTCACGATGCCCTTCATGCGCACATACAAGATAACAATTCAGCCAACACGGGAAGCAATTCTTGAGTTTTTGCGGGCAACCTCGCAAAACAAATGTCGACGAGCCTGCTTCCATTCTTTTGGCGGATCCATCCGGCCACGCGCCACAGCGATGAAATTCTCGGCAACTGCCTGCTGCAGCCAATACTGCTCAATTCGAAGCATTTCTGAAACCAATCCGTCCGCCGCGCCGGCGCGCCCATTTTGCATTCGCTTGGACGCCGAACGCAACTCTGAGTCAATTTTATTTGCTTCCTCAGGCGGTGTGGGAGGCCCTCGAGGGAAGCTCTTGGGCCGTCCTGGGGGCCTCCTGGGCCGTCTTGGGGGCTTGGGCTGTCTTGGGGCCCTCTCGGAACCCTCTTCGGACTTTTTGGAACTCTCTTGGGGAACTCTTGGGCCCCTCTGGGTCCCTCTCGAAGCCCTCTTGGGCCGTCTTGGGGTTCTCCTGGGCAATCTTGGACCCCTCTTGGGGGCCTCATGGGCCCGACTTGGGGGCCTCTTGGCCGCTTCGCACAAGCGACTGAGGCTGGTGATTTTGCCCCGAAAGCTTTGCAAAAACGGATTGCTGGCGATTTCCCCGCTGGCTGCCAGACTCTTGCGGACTTTTCGTGCGAAGCCAAAGCTCTCACGACTTTTCCGCAGGAGCGGTCTGCCGCGAACTCTTCGCGGGAAGCTCAGGCTCTCGCGAACTTTTTGCGGGAGGCCGCGGGGACGGAGCCGCAGCCGAGGCCTCGGCCTGGGTCTGGGCCTGGGCCAGGGTCGGGGCCCGAACCGAGGCCGGGGCCGGAGCTGGCGCTGGGCCCCCCGCAGGTTTTGGGAGGAAAAGGATGATGACTGCGACGAGGGCATCGCGCAGAGGCCTTTTTTTCCCACGTCTCTCCACCGACGTCTTGCTGGCATACTTCAACGAACGAGGGTGCAACGCATCCCGCCCAAGGGCTGTACCCGGCAAGAAGCATTTGAGCACGCTGTAATTATCGTCAGCCGAGATGTCACCCAGAGTCCACACAGCTTCCCAAGTACGAGGATGCTGCTCATGGTCGCGGACAGGGGCCAGGGCCAAGGCCGGGGCTGCGTCGAGGCAGGGACTGGGGCCAGGGCCATGCTCGTCCGTTTGTTTCCTTGGAGATTCCTGACGTGGTTTTCTGAATCCCCCGCCCGTACTCGCAAGCAAGCCTCGAAAACCGCCCCCCCCCCCCCCCACACCCCCTGAATTTGCTCTCCAGCGCTCTTTTCGGCCTCCAGGCGGCCAAGATGGCCTCCGAGATGGCTTCCAAGAGAGCCAAAATGACACCAAGACAACCCAAAATGGCTCATAAGGCTGTCAAAAAAAAGGCCTCAAGACGGCCCTCAATACGGTCCAAAAGGGTTTCCAGAATCCCTCCAGGAGAGCCGGAGAGCCGCAACTTTTTTTTGACTAATTTGACGCTCTCGCCTGCTTCGGTTTATGACCGCGAAAGGCGGGCTAAGACGCTTCCACGACAGCTCCTAGACAGCCCAACGAGGCTCCCGAGAGGGCCGGCCGAAGAGTACCCAAGATCACCCAAAAGACGTCCAAGAGGGCACAGAGTCGCCCAAGAGGCCCTCCAAGAGATCTCAGGGCGCTCCCAGGAGCCCCCCAGGAGGCTCCATGAGGGTCCAAAGGTCTCCTCATTCTCGTCCTCAATCTCCTCCTTCTCCTCCTCATCCCCCTCTCCCTTCTCTTCTTCCTCCTCCTCCTCCTTCTCCTCCTCAATACAGCGCGAACGAAAACGAGGTCAAGATCACGGCCCTATCCAAATCAGACTACTCGCTGAACTTCCGCGGGGCGTGCACTCGACCTCCTTTCTAACGCGCGGACGAAGACGAGGTCAAATTCACTACCTGTCCCAGTTCAGACCGCTCGTCGAAATTGCCGATCCTACACTCAGCCTCTTTCTGACCGCGCTGTTGCACAAGCACGGTATCGGGGTTTGCCGCAAACAACTGGACATCCTCCGTGTGCTGGGTGGGACCCAGCTTGGCACGAACAGCAACTGGTTCCTACTTGGGCACAACATAGCATGGACACGTCAATACGCAATACAACATAAGATATGAAACAAACGATCCAACTGCAACACTTTGTCGAACTTGCCCACATGTTTTACCGTACTGCGCCGTTCCAGCTATTGCACACATTTGCCCGTGTACCCATGTCAAACAAGCCGTCTTGCAAACGATGCTGGGCTCTTAGCGGCCGTGCCAAGAGGCTGAGCGCAAACGACGCCGGGCACACTTGCGCTAGAAAGTTTCGCCAACTTTTGTTGTGTCATGAGCAATACTATTTGCGCGCTGCTGGCGACGAGCTCGTTCGTTGTTTTTGTTGTTCCTACTTTCGCGCTGCTGGATGTTGCTTGTCTGTTCAATATTCCCGACGTGTTCTTGGACAACTAGCTTGTCACCAAGCGGATGGGTGTGCCTAAGAGGTCTTCAGGACGGCCCGAACAGCTCCTTCGAACAAAACCTCAAGGGCCCCAGACAGACAAACATGGCCCCGATATGCCTCGGATATGGCCTAGGACGGCCCCGTGACGACCCGCAAGCGCAAACAACATTGAAGGACCAACATGTGTGTGAAGGTTTCTTGCCTGCCCGTTGTTTTCCCACGAAATGTCTCAAACTCGCTTCTAGATGTCCCCCCGAAGTCTCCCAGGACTGCCAACAAGGTGATCCGCCGAAGGCCCTAAGGTGCCGCCCGAATCGCCCAGGATGGCTCGTCGAGGCCACGAGGTGACACCAGTGCCCCGCTAAGATCAGCCCCAGAGGCCCCCAAGACAACTCTAGGATTGCCCAAGGTGGCCCCAGAGGCCTCAAGGTTAGAAGAAGAACAAAAAGCCGATTACATGCACTTTTGGCGCTCCGCGCGGATCTCTTGGATCTGCGCTGGGACCCCCTGGCGGCGCCTCCGGCGCCGCCCCTGGCGCCCTCCGCGCGCCAGCGAGGGGGGTCCAGCGCAGATTCAAGAAATCCGCGCGGAGCGCCAAGTTTATGTTTATGGCATTGTTTCTGCTTCGAGAGATGCCTCCGAGATGCACAAAGATGGTCCCACGTCCTCTCCAATCTAGTCACAAGACGGCTCAGCCCAGGGGGCCGGCGGCAGAGAGCACCGCCCATCGAACATTTCGACTGGAACCACCGAGCGCGCTCCACTACTCGCAAAGTGCCTGCTCGCAAACGTCAGAAAACAAACAACATGTGTTTTCCTCGATGTGAGTATCGCAGATCCCTCGCGGCTGATCCAGGTCATTTGCGAGTGATTACTTCGCGCGTAATGGAACGCGCTTGTCTATTGCATTCCGGCTCCCAAGGAGCTGCTGGTGATGCGCCGACGGCGTCCTCGATATTTAGACTCGACTTCCTGGTAGAAGGAAACATGTGGACTCGCTGACCGAACACCGAAGGGCATTCCTCACAATACCAGGACCCCGTAGCCTGACCGGATGGATTGAATTGGCAATGTTTCATCAGTGGCGGTTCCACCGCCCTGACAACACTGTTCAAGGATCCCGCTGCTTCACGGGAAGCACTGAAGCAGGATTGACTTAGTTTACTGGCTCCTTTCTCCTTGTCCTCCTCCACTTGTGTTGCCGACTATACAAGCTGGTTTTCCTCATGCGCTGTCGTTCTGCGGTTCCCTGCCCTGACGCAAAGCCAAATCCAGGACAAGCGGTATTGCTGCAACTAGCAGTCACCGAAAACAATTGTAGAGTGACAGGGCCCAAGTTCATTGCTCGGGGAGACAAGTGATCGCGCAGCACCCTCCCGTTTGGTATCATGCTTTTCCTTGTAGCGATGATAGCACAAGCCGCACTAAAGAGTGCAGTTAACTTGTTCTCTCGAGGCACTGTCAGCACGGGTCGTTGGAGAGGCTTGGTCGACTCCATTCCGATCTGATATCATATTCTGTGTGGGCTTAACCTGTCTTGCACGTTTAAGAAGCAAGCGCGATGGTAACATTTAATGGGGCCCCCATTCTTGTCGGGAACGGGGAAGCCAGAGAAGCCAAACACCTCAATGTTGGACACGTAGGAAGTGGTGCCATACCTCATCAGGCGCCGTTAGTTATAGAGAACGGACGTTTGTCCTGGCAGCCAGCACGAATCATGCATACTTTGTGCAACTTGGTTTTCGACACATGCCCCGTTGGGATTGCTGGGTTCAATCTGGAGTAGGAGAGGAGGAGAAGGGGAAGGATGTGTCTGGCAATCGCAGCTGGGGGACACCCTAAATAGGTGGGTCTCGTGAACTTGGAAACTCCTGGGCACCATAATCATCTGCTTGCACGGCCGCGCGTGTTTGTCGAGGAGCATCAGACATGCAAGCTCTTGACGTCGCGATTGTGCGGAGCAAAATGCACATACATACATTTTCGGAACTGGATCGGCGCTGGACCTCCGTCCCTGGCGCGCAGAGCGCGCCAGGGGTGGCGCCGGAGGCTCCGCCAGGGGGTCCAGAGACCTCCGGTGTCTTATGTTCATGCAGGCTTCCTTCGAGACATCCAAAGGCTTGGCGACGCAATCGAGCCACGCATAGCCACGTAGTGCAAACGTTTCCCCATGGGTTCCAGAATGTGGTCGGACTCTTGCTCCGCGTGCCGCGGCGGCGGCCCCGGCGGCACGCTCTGTCTTGCAAGCGGGAAGTGCACCGCTCTGCTCTGCTGTTCGAGAGGCTGGGAAAGGCTCGCGTGAGAATGGGGAAGTGGTTAGCATGTGGCGCCGAGGCGTGGTGGGACGTGGCGCAATCATGTCTCCATGAGTTTCAAGATAGTGCGCGCACTGGCAGCAGCTGAGGACCTGCTCGACGCGCGTCCTGTTGTGAGCCCATCCTTCGCCCGCCTCCATCTGCTGCTCCTCCTCCTGCTGCCTCCTCCCCCGGCTCCGCTCCCATTCTTCGTCTTCTTCGTATTATTCTTCTTATTCTTCTTTTTCTGCTATTTTTCTTCTTCTCTTTTAATATTACTGTTTGTTTGTGGTTTTCCTTTTCTTCCTGCCCCTTCACCATCCCTTTCCCTTTCTCCTCCTCCTCCTCCTGCTTCCTCTCCTCCCCCTGCTGCTCCTCCAGCTCCTGCTCCTCCTCATTCTCCTCCTCCCTGCTCTTTCTGCTCCTCCAGCTGCTCCTCCTCCTGCTGCTCCTGCTTCTGCCCCTCCTCCTGCTCCTCCTCCTGCTCTTGCTCCCTGCTTGTCCTGCTGATCTTCTCCTCCTCGTCCCCTCCTTTTCTTCCTTCGCCTCCTCTTCATCATCATCATCGTCATCATCATCATCATCATCATCATCATCATCATCATCATCATCCTCATCCTCATCCTCATCCTCATCCTCATCCTCATCCTCATCCTCCTCCTCATCATCATCAGCATCATCATCATCACCATCATTATCACCATCACCGTGATGATGATCATCACCACCATCGTCATGATCATCGCATCACCGTCAGCGTCATCATCATCAGCATCATCACCATCAGCGTCATCATCATCACCATCACCATCAACAGCACCATCATCACCACCACCATCACCATCACCATCACCATCATCAGCGTTAGCATCAGCATCAGCATCAACAACATCATCATCATCGTCGTCGTAGTCGTCGTCGTCATTGACATTGTCGTCGTTATCGTCATCGTCATCGCCATCGTCATCATCATCACCATCATCATCACCTTCGTCTCCCTCCTCCTCCTCATCATCATCATTTCCACCACCATCACCACCACCACCACCACGTTCATCATCATCATCATCTTCTTCATCTTCATCTCCATCTTCATCAGTATCTTCATCAGCATCATCATCATCATCATCATCATCATCATCATCAGTATCGCTCTCCTCCTAATCCACCCTCGCATCCTCGTCTCCCCCTTCCTCGTCCACCCTCCTCCCCTGTTTCTCCGCCTGTCCGACCCTGTTTCTCCGACCTCTTCCCGACTTCTCGACTCCGCTTGGCAGGTCCAGCTGGAAGTCCCAGGAGGTCCCCCGAGAGATCCCCGACGCCGCTCGCATGAAAACATTCGCAAGCTCATGTTCTCGATCTCCTGGCGTGGCCTCGATCCTCGAATGCTCGAGGCCAGATGCCCGATCCTCGAGAACCGCTGCGGCCGTTTTTCCTCGCGGGCGCTACTTGCACTCGGGGAACGCGGGGTCCGAGGTACACCTGGCGCGGGGGGAGCAGAGGGGAACGGAAGGCCGATAAGGCGAGAGCGAGCAAACAACGCAACCATGTACGGAAACCGCTGATTTGGGCTCCTTCGGGCTCTCCTTGGGCACCTTCTGGAGGCCTCTCGTGCCATCTTCGGGGCGTCTCCGGAGCCTCTTGGCCCGTCTTTAGGACGAGCATGATGCCGCGAGAATTGGCTCAGGATGCGCTCCAGAATTCCCAAGGTATCCAGCGGCCCTCGGTTCTGGAGCCCGTGCCGCCCCCTCCTCCTTGTCCCCCTCGCTCTCTCCTCCTCATCCTCACTCTCCCCCTCTTTCTCCTCCTCCTCCTCCCCCTGCTCCTCTACCTCCTTCCGTCTCCCGGCCTGCCTCCAGCCACCTGTGTCTCCTCTTCTCTCCTCCGACTTACGGCGATGGCGACGCGCATGCCGCCAGCCTTCAACGCGCTGCCGGCGGCGTCGATACCGCCTCTGGGCACCAAGGAGCCCGTGAACGTGCTCCTCCTGATTCTGGCGCTGACCGCACTGCCGACCCGTCCGTGGCCTGCCAGTGCGAATGTGTCGGCGCCTGCAGCGGCTTGCACGCTAAGCTGCCCCTCTGCCGCGCGGCGGAGCAGAGCGAGTGGAGCACCGGCAGACCAACATCTTTTCCGAGCTGCTGCGTCCAGCCGTGGCGACGAGGGTTCCCCCCCGATGACCAATTACCGACTGCCTTAACTCGCCCTCCTCTGAACGTGGTGCTGCTCCTTACGGCGTGCCAGCTCATCGTGCTCAGGGGCTTCCTGGTGGTAGGCCTGCTGCTGGCCCAGCTCGTCGTGAGCGCTCTGCCTACACGTCGGTCGGAAGAAGTAGGGGACAGTAGACTGGGCCCATGCCCTCCCAGAGAATGGCAAAACACAGCATAAGCATGGCGGTTCTTGAAGCAGGAAGGCATTTGGCAATCAAACAAAGTCCAACGACCAGCGTGTGCGCTACTGCAGCTACCACCAGTGGGCCCAGGGAAGGGGCCTTCCTCCTTCCTCCCTCCTCATTCATTCCTTCTCCCTCCTCCTTCCTCCTCCCCCTCCTCCTTCCTTCCTCCTTCCTCCTCCTTCTTCCTTCCTCCTTCCTTCCTCTTCCTCCTCCTCCCTCCTCCTTCCTTCCTCCTCCCTCCTCCTCCCGCTCTCTCCTCCCTCCTCCCATGGCGAAACATGGGCGTTGACAGGATGATCCGCCTGAGGGGCAGAACATGTGGGCGGATATAACCGCTGCGCGGCCACCAGCACGCCACAACGCCCAATGTGAGATGGAGGGGAATACCAATGCCGAACGTAGCCCTACATCCGTGTAGCCTTAGGTCGGGCGTGTCCTCCTACAGGCGGATTTTGGACAAATACAAAACTCGAAACATGATAACACAAATGCCCAATCTATTCAAAAAATACTCCCCAGACTATTTTTTTTTTACCACTTTTGAATATTCCTCCTGTAGAGGGACGTGCCCGACTTAAGTGTAGCCCACAGGAGCAAACCTGATCCTGCTTTCACGGTGCGCTTTTGCATGGCCTGGGCATCGCTGCACTGGTCCCTGTCCCCGCCGGCGTTCAGATAAGGAATCTTTCAGGGTCCGAAGCCTCCTGGGTACATTCCTAAACGAGCGCCCCCACCGTACCCTGGCCCAGTGGGGATGGGGATAGCCCAGACGATGCCGAGCTCCTGCCCGTCCTCCGAGCGCCCCCATGGATTGCAAGGGGGGCATGGGCGCGGGCGAGCCTATCAGCTGCAGTCAATGCCGCGCCTGCATCCTGGCGCACCGCTCTGGCAGCGGGGCTGGCCGCTGCACCGCGGCCTTGGCCGATGCGTGGAGTCCGTCCCGATCGGCGCCCTGCGTTGCTGGCCGCTCGCTCTCCGATCGTGGCGATCGGTCATTTGCCTTGTGGCCCCCCCCTCCTCCCCCTCCTCCTCCTCCTCCTCCTCCTCCTCCTCCTCCTCCTCCTCCTCCTCCTCCTCCTCCTCCTCCTCCTCCTCCCCCCCGCATGACGGCCCTGAATCGAATCGGATGGTCGGACAGGCAATCGAAATACATCGAGTCGGCAGGTATCGAAACCATCTGAATCAACGTCTGCTGCAATCAGAAGCCGAAGCGACGTGGAAGTCCTCGGAATCGGACCGACTGGGTCGACATCGCTCCTGCCCCGCCCGAGTCCCGAGGCGGAAGAATCTCCGGCGGGCCATGGCCAGTCCATGGAGGCCCCTGGACTTAGGTCGGGCGTGTCCTCCTACAGGCGGATTTTGGACGAAAATAAGACAATACCAGAAACATTGCCAAAACATGCCCCAACATTCCCAACAAATAGTTACATTTTTTTTTGTTTTTACTATTTTTGTTACTTCCTCCTGTAGAGGGACGTGCCCGACTTAACCCTGGAGCCAGAAAACAAGAAGAGCGCAGACAACAGCTGGACCCCCGAGCCTCCTCCTCCCTCGAGCCGCCTCCTCCCTCGCCTCCCGCTCTCTTCCCTGCCCCCTCGAGCGAGGGGCAGGACGAAGAGACCCCCACCCCTGGGCCCCTCGCCCTGCCAGCGCGGGGCGCGGGGGGGCATATTGCTCGCCTCCTGTAGGCCTCCGCGATGCAGGGGGCGACCAGGCCCGTCTCCTTCTCCTTCACGTACCGCACGTCGTTCCTGCCGGATGGTACTCGTCGTCGTCGTGCGTCATCGTCGGTCGTCGGTCGTCGGTCGGCGTCGGTCGTCGGTCGTCGGTCGTCGTCGTCGTCGTCGTCGTCGTCGTCGTCGTCGTCGTCGTCGTCGTCGTCGTCGTCGTCGCTACCGCCGCCGCCAACGCCGCCGCCGCCGCCGTTGCCGCCGTCGTCGTCGTCGTCCTCCTCCTCCTCCTCCTCCTCCTCCTCTCCTCTGGAGGCCTCCGCGGGAGCCTCCAGGGAGGCCTCTCCGGAGGCCTCTCCGAAGAGGCCTCCAAAGACACCTCGGGGGCCTCTGGGGGCCTCGTGGGCCCTCCTGGACTCTGCGGCGGAACTGCCAGAGTCCAGAGATCCGAGGAACTGTTTTGTTTGACTCCGGCGGCTTTTCCTGGATTTCGGCCTCTAGGGGTCGTTCTCGGGCCCGGGGACCCTCAAAAGTGGGCCCGGGACGAAGAACCACCCTTGGGGAAGGGGTCGAGACCTCTGGGGCCGCGGATTGAACAACTCATATCAAGGCGTCCGACGCAGTTCTTAGATAAGCGCGTTCCACTACTCGCAAAGTAGCTGCTCGCAAATGGCCTGGCTCCGCCGAAGGGGATCTGCGATCCATTACGTCGAAGAAAGCACTGATTTATCGGACGTTTGCGAGTGGGCACTTTGCGAGTAGTGGAGCGCGCTCGGCGAGCTTTTAGAATTTCCACGACGCAGGGCCCCCTCTCGGGGGCGTCCAAGGCAGGGGCTCGCAAAAACGATGACCCGAGGCACGTGCGCGGATGAGGAGGGGGGGGGGGGCTAAGGGACGCACAGGAAGGGAGCAAGGAAGGGAAGGGCACGTACGCGGACAGGAGGGGGGGGTGCGCAGGAAGGGCCACGAAACCCAAGGAGATTCACGAAGGGGTGGGATTTCAGACCCGGGCCATGATGCAGCCGGACTTGAGTGGACAGGACGCACGAGGAGGACACAAGACCCCACATCGCCATAGCAGTGTAGGAGGCATGGGTCGCGAGACACGGGACGCAAGGGCATCCTTGATTTGGCAGGGTAGACCTACTACTCAAGGCCGACTGTGTCCACCCTCTTTCTGGCCGCCCCCGATCCTGCTCGTCTGGATCCTCCTCCTCCTCCTCCTCCTCCTCCTCCGCCTCCTCCTCCTCCTCCTCCTCCTCCTCCTCCATCTCCTCCTCCTCCTCCCCTCCCTCCCTCCTTCCCCCCGGGTCCGGCTTTCCCTCTCGAGTCGCTGTTGGCGGCCCCGGGGAGCGGCAAGGGCCCCTCGAGGCCGAAACTGCCACGCCCTCCAGTCATGATTTTCTCACCCTGCGAAGACGTCGACGGGGAAGCGTGACCGAGGCGGTCGGCTGGACTCGGCATGGCAGCAGTCTGCGCGCCGTCTTGCTGAAGGCTCGCGCCCCGAGAACCAGTGGGGGTACGCTTGTAGCTGCCGCCACCCTCCCCGGCGAATGGAGACCCAGCCCTGAGCCGCTCAGGCGGCCCTGGGGAGACCACGAGGTACCGATACCGCCCTTCTGACCAGGATCTCGAAGCGAATCTGGCGGTGGCGGCGGTGGCGGCGAGGGCCTCCCAAGAGGCCCCCCAAACAGGAAGAACGAAGGGAAGGGCAGCGGTCTCGGCGCCTTCTCCTCCTTTGAGCCATGAGCCCCACCAAGCGGCCCAGCGCACACAAGCGAGAGCGCCGCGGACGGCGGAGGCGGAGGTAGGCGTCGGGGGATCTACTGACCTGGGTCAGTGCAGACCCATGCCAGTCAGCCTCTGCAGCATCCTGCACGCTCCTGCGCCCAACCCTTGGTCGATGCCACCCTGGCACTGCAAGATGCTGCAAAATCCGGTGGTCTGACACCCCCCCAGTGACGGACAACGAGGCGGGCCGCCTCAGCCGCGCGCAGGCGGCCTTCGGCGGAGACGCGCTGGCCTGGATGAAGGACGGGCGCAGAGGGGATGCGTGGTCCTGCATGGAGGCCTCATGGGGGTCCCAACATTCCTTTTGGTTTTGGGGGGGGTCCTCCAGATTTCGTTGTTTTGTTTGCATGGGCCCCCGTCACTGGAGCCCCGAGGGCGGGCTCTGATGCGTCCTCAATTTTTTTTTTTGGGGGGGGGGGCGCGGTTTGGGGGGGGGTCCTCCGGATTCTGTCAATTGCATGGGCCCCCGTCCCTGGAGCGCCGAGGCCGGGCTCTGACGTGTCCTCCGTGTTTTTCCCAACCATCCTGTGGTGCTGTGGTGCTGGGTCCTCGTTTTCAAGAGACGGTCCCCGCGTTCCTCTCCTCCTCCTCCTCCTCCTCCTCCTCCTCCTCCTCCTCCTCCCCTTCCTCCTTCCTCTCGTCACCCCCCTCACTTTGGCACACCCCTCACGCGTTTCGTGGTCCCATAGGGAGCTCCTCCTAAGGACCCAATGGCGGAGTCCGCATGTCGGCGCCGCCCCATTTTGGCACACCCCTCACACGTTTCGTGGCCCCATCGGGAGCTCCGCCTAACGTCCCAATGGCGCAATCCGCATGGCGGCGCCGCCCCATTTTGACACACCCCTCACACGTTCCGTGGCCCCCTAGGGAGCTCCGCCCTGTCCCATTTCGGCACACTCTTCACGCGCTTCGTGTCCCCAGAAGGAACCCACCGAAGGCGGCACTAACAACGACGGTATTCACAACTGCGTATGGTTGGGTCTTTCGCCAGGCTCATTTTCTTAGAGTTGGGAGGGGGAGGGGCGAGGCCCCCGCCGCCGCGCTGGCGGCTCGCCGCGGAGGCCCAGGGCGAGGCCGCGCCTCGGGGCAGGTCCTGGGAGGGGGGGCAGGTTTATTAATCTTTATCATTCGAATTATTATGATTGTTCTTCTTCTTCTTCGTAGTCGTATTATGATTCGTGCTAGTACTACTCTTCTTATCATTCTTGTCATTCTTATCATTGTGAAGCGTGCTTGTATTTCTTACTATGATTATTATTCATATTATTACGACGAGTTTTGTTCGTATTACGATTGCTGGTGCCAATACTATTCGCATTCTCTTTCTCATTACGATCATAAGACAGGGGGGCGCGAGGCCGCGGCTCGGGGCAGGTCGGGGGGGGGGAGGGGGCGGACTCCTCCGAAGGGGGGCGGGCGAGAGCGCGAAGGCCCGGGGCTCGGGGCGGGCGGGCGCTCCGAGAGGCTGGGGTCGGTCGGCACCGAGTCGGGGCCTCGGGCCGAGATCGGGCCGCGTCGGCACGGCATCGGCATCGGCATCGGCATCGGCCACGCCGTGCAGACGCGGAGCCGCGCTGGCCCGTCGGAGGGCATCGAGACCGTACGTATCGGATCGATTCGGCCAGAACCGAGATTGAACCGGGTCGACTGGAGGACCCTGGAGGCGCAAGCGACGGAGGAGGCCCCCCACGCCGTCGTCGTCATCGTCGTCAGCGCCGTCGCGATCGACGACCCAAGGGCCAAGGGCCAGCCGCATCCTACATAGCAGAGCCAGGAGCGGATACCCCAATGTCCATCCGGGTCCGCATGGACACACACACACAGCTGGATTCACACGCGGAGCATGCCATCGTGCCTTGCCGCAAAAAGGGCGAACGATGGAAAGGCATGCGGGCAGCATCAACCTCTCGCCCAAGCGGGCGCTACGTCATGCGTGTCTAACTTCCTGGTAAGTTTACTTGAACCCCGACCGAAATCGCCTCAACATCCGTCCACGGACTCCTCCAGGGCTTCATTATGGTTTTCGAGCCGCGTCCAGCCGTCATCTGAATATTGTGGCAAAGATTGGGAAAGCATTCGGATTGGACCTCAACGAGGGTAAAACCGCACTACTACAATTCAGACTTTTAGCAATGATTCTCGGGCCTGCTGGAGAGAAAATTCAATGCAAAAATCACGCAATATATCTGGGCGGCTTTTTAAGCGTGGATGGGAATGCCAAAACAGAATTGGCGAGGCACCCGGGGGAAGCCAGAAGTGCTTTTCAGCAACTCCGTGCTGTATGGAACCATGCGAACGTCACCCTGCCACGAAAGATGCACACATCTATCGGAAACACGTCTCTTCTCCGAACTGCTCTGTGGCTTGGGATCATGTGCACTACCAGCTGCTGACCGGGAAAGGCTCGATGGGTTCCAAGCAGGAGGTGGAGGAGGAGGAAGAGGAGGAGGAGAAGGAGGAGGAGGAGGAGGAGGAGGAGGAGTAGGAATAGGAATAGGAGGAGGAGGAGGCCAGAGAGAAGCAACAAGCCGGGTGTACTACCGGCTGCTGACCGGGAAAAACTCGACGGGATCCCCCCAGCCGACATTTCTCGAGAGAAGCAGCGCAGAGGCGAGGCCAACCGCAGGCGCCCGCCCTTTGTCGGCCCTGCTCCTCCAAAGCAGGCTGCATTTTTTCACGGCAAGCTGGCAACAGTGAAGGGGCCCTGGGACACACAAATAAATGAACACAGATAACAGGATTCCCTGTGTTTTCCCACATTTTCTGAGCTTTTGTCTTCCCCCCCCACTTTCCATGTTTTCCCATAATTTCTGGGGAATCGACGATTCATTGTGTCTGTGTGTTTTTTCCCTCCTGAAAGAGCCCGCCCGAACACTTTACCTAGACGCATGGTTTGTGAGGAAGGCCGAGTTTACAGCATATTGCCCAGGGGCTGGCATTCCCCTCGCAAGCGCGGAAGACCCCGTTTGCCAAGGGCTGAATATATGCACGCGTGCGCCTTGAGCCTAGCAGGAAACGACCCCGATATATTACATAATCTGCTGAAATCTCCAGGAAACCCAGTGGGAAGCAGCTGCTATTGCCAATCATTGTGATTATAGTTCTCAGTTGCTCTCCTCTCCCCCTCTCTCCCTCCCTCCCCATCCTCCCTTTCCCCTTCTCTCTCTTGCATGTCGCCCTGCTGGTGTAATTCCCACCGCCGCCCACTGAAATATGTAGTGGCTGCGTTCCAGCGCCCCTTGCATTCAGCTCGGAATTGTCATCGCATGACTTTTCCTGGCCTTTTGTAGCTTGTCATGCAATGCAGATGCGCCGTCCAGGCACGGCTTCTTCCTGTCCTGTCCTGTCCAGCCGCGGCGGCGAGACCTTCCAGATGCGCACAAGAAGCCCACGAAACGACGAAGTCGTCGAGCCCCTTGCAAAGATCCTTGAAAATCCCTTTATGGTGAGAAGGAGCGCCGGGGGCGAGGTGGGTGGGGGGCTGGGAAACATCGCCTTGGAATCTGCGATATATCTCCGACAGATCGGCGACAGGCCTCCGATAGCGAATCCCCACGTTCCTGAGCGGGGTGGGCTCTCAGGCCCCTATCGGCGATCAGTGGGCGATTGGGGGTCCCGCTGAGCTTCTGTCGGGCGTGTCCCCCCCCCCTACAGGGGATTTTTCGACGAAAAATAAACAATCCCCCCAACATACTCCAAAAAGGCAAAGAATACTCAAAAAATAGTCCCCAGGCTTTTTTATATTATCAGTTTTGGACTATTTTTGGGTATTTTCTATTTTTCGTCGAAAATCCACCTGTAGAGGGGACAGGCCCGACTTAACGCTGAGCAAATCCCCCTTCAGATTGCCCCTGACCGTTCCGTGCGGGCCGCGTGGTTTCCTTGCATCGGCGCTGGAGCTCCCTGTCTGGCGCGTGGAGCGCGCCATAGGGGGGCGCCATGGGCGGCGCCGCTGGCGGCGCCGCTAGGCCGGGAGGGTCCAGCGCCGATCCAAGAAATCCACGCGGACCTTCGAAGCTTTATGCTGATGCAGCTTCTCCTCCTCTTCCTCCTCCTCCTCCTCCTCCTCCTCCTCCCCTCCTCCTCCTCCTCCGCCCTTCCTCCTCCTCCTCCTCCTCCTCCTCGTCGTCGTCCTCCTCCTCCTCCTCCTCCATCACCACCACCACCTCCCCCACCTCCTCCTTCTGATCTGTGTCCTGTGGAAGTCAATCTTCTCCACCTTGGCGCCGGCGTCGTCCAGCAGTTCTGCGCGCAAGGACGCGGGATTGGTCGCGGAGGAAGAGAAGGAGAAGGTGACAAGAACAGGGAGGAAGGAGCAGGATGAGGAGGAGCAGGGAGAAGGGGAGGGGAAGGGAAGGATGGTGGGAGAGGGGGGGTGGACGAGGGGGAGGAGAAGGAGGTGGTGGGAGGAAGCGAGGAGGATGGAGGCGAGGAGGGGCAGGTGGATGAGGAGGATGGGCGTCTACCTTTTGCAGGGGAGCAGCCTGCTTCCCGACGCCTGCTCCGAGCGGGCTGTGGAAGGACCCAAGGGCGCAGGGGAGGGGGACCGGCTGGTCGGCTTCGCTAGCGGTCGGCTTCGCTGCGGTCGTCTTCCCCTCCAGCGCGGTGCTGCGTGCAGCAGCCCTGAGGCTACTGTCACCCATGCCTTCGCCGAGTGCGTGCACACCTCTGCGTTGAGGCGCACGCCGTGGTCCTCCCATGCGCAGCCGGAGCCGCCGTCCCAGGAGAAGCTGTTGATGCCCACCCTGTGTCTGGTGCGGGCGGCAGACGCTGCTTCGCTGCAGGGGCATGCTGAGCACCTGGCAGGGGACAGCGGGTGGAAGACGCCCCCCCCCCCCCGGCATGTGCGGCCTCTCCCCGCCACACGTCGGAGCGCGCCCCGCGGCGCGGGCGCGGCAGGTGCGGGCGGGCGGCCTCCTTGCAGAGCGGAGGGCGAAGAGCTTCTCTTTTTTTTGCCGGCGAGGACTCCAGCTGCATCATGGCACAGCGGCTGACTGGGAGGGAGCCCAGGCAGCCGAGAAGGTGCAGGGTGCCGCCGTGCCGGGCCGCAGCGGCAGACTGGCAACGGGAGACCTCCAAGTAAAACCTCGGAGGTCGGTGCCTCGGCGTCGACAGACGTCCAGGGACACTCCAAGACCATCACGGGAACATATCCCAACGGTCGTCTTCGCTCGGCCGGTTTTGCTGCGATCGGCTTCGCTGCGGTCTGCTTCCCCTGGTCGGCTGCTTTCACGTCCCGCCCGCCCGACCCACCCTTCACCAAGGGTCGCCAGGGGACTGAATAAGGGGACCTTGGGTGCTCCTGGTATGCTACGGCCCCGGGGCCCCCAGTGCAAGGTTTCCGGCAGAGGAGGAGGAGGAGGAGGAGGAGGAGGAGGAGGAGGAGGGGGAGGAGGAGGAGGAGGAGTAGGAGGAGGAGGAGGGGAGCAGGAGGATGAGGATGAGGATGCGGATGATGATGAGATGGGATGAGGATGAGGATGAGGATGAGGATGACGATGAGGAGGTGGAGGAGGAGGAGGGAGGAGGAGGAGGAGGGAGGAGGAGGGGAGCAGGAGCAGGAGGAGGAGGGAGGACCAATGTAAGTGTGAATCCAAAGAGGCAGAGGAGGAGGTGGAGGAGGAGGAGGAGGAGGAGAAGGAGAAGGAGGAGCAGAAGGAGGAGGATGGGGGGGAGCAGGAGGATGGGGAGGAGGAGCAGGAGGAGGAGGAGGAGGAGGAGGAGGATTAGGAGGAGGAGGGGCCTTTGAAGAACTCCTCCGTCTGCAGGGGGTCCCCGCGGCGCTTCGCGCGGTGGGCCCTGTTGATCCAGCGAGCCATGCGGCGCACGTGCTCCTGGACGAGGGCCCCCCTTCTCTCAATTCTCCTGTCCCCCTTCTCGTCGCCCCTCCTGTTCCGCTTCCACCCGCCCTTTCTTTCTTCTTCACTTCTTCCTCCTGCTCCTCCTCCTCCTCCTCCTGCTCCCCTCCTCCTCCTCCTCCTCCTCCTCCTCCTCCTTCTCCTCCTCAACACACGACTGGCCTCCTTACTCCGTCCCCTTCGGCCTAGCATGTTTGATGCCGCACCCCGTGGTGTGCTGACGCAGGATGTCTGCTACACTGAGTTCCCATATGCATGCTGTATCGCTGTGAAGTGCCCAGCCGAACGCGCAAACTCAATGACGGTCAAGTTGCAACACAACCCTCCTTCTGGCCCTCCTGCCCCTTCTGCTCATCGTCCTCTATCTTCCCCCTCCTACTTCTAATCCTCTTTTTCCTCATCTTCCTTCTCCTCCAATTCGTCGTCGTCATCTTCCTCGTCCTCCTCCTCCTCTTCAGCATAATCATCACCACCACCACTTATCATTGCCGTCGTTATCATCATCGTCGCCAACACCACCACCATCATCGTCACCACCACCATCACAACCATCATGATCACCACCAACATCATCATAACCACCACCATCATCACCATCATCACCATCATCATCATCATCATCATCATCATCATCATCATCATCATCATCATCACCACCATCACCATCACCATCATCAACATCGTCATCATCATCATTATCATCATCATCATCATCATGACCAGCACCATCATCATCACCATCAGTATATTCATCACCATCATCGCCATCATCGTCATCATCATCGTCATCAGCATCGTCATCATCATCATCATCATCATCATCATCATCATCATCATCATCATCAATCATCATCATCATGACCATCATCATCACCATCATCATTATTTCCATCACCATTACCATCACATCCTCATCCTCATCCTCATCCTCCTCCTCATCATCATCACCATCACTATCATTATCTCCATCATCATCATCGTCGTCCTTGCCATCACCACAATCACCACCATCACCACCATCATCCTTATCCTCATCATCATCGTCAACATCACCATCTCCATCATCAGCATCCCCCTCCCCCACAAACTCCTCCACCCGCCTCCTCCTGGTCCATCGTCCTACTCATCCTCCCTTCCTCCCTCCTCCCCATGAACCTCCACCTCGTCATCCCCACGAGCCTCACGATGGCCTGGTCCTGATATGAGCGATGACTTCGTCGCGAGTGACGCATGACAACTGCGCGTGAGGCACGGGTCCTTCGTGGAACATAGCGGTCACGGGAATGACCCCTCGCAAGCACGCTCATCCTCGCTCGAGCAAGTGCCCTTCGTGGGCCAAACCTCTGGCGTCTTAAAGCAAACACGGCGACCGGTGTTCCAAGCTCGGGCCTTCAGGGGCCATCAGAAGACGACCCGCAGCGACAAACAAGCCCCAAAAGGGTGAGGCCACCGACTGGGGGGCCAATACCGTCAAGAAGCCACGACGTCGGATGTAGGAGGAGGAGCAGGAGGGGGAAGAGGAGGAGGAGGAGGAGGAGGAGGAGGAGGAGGAGGAGGAGAAGGAGGTGGAGGAGGAGGAGGAGGACCAATGTAAGTGTGAATCCAAAGAGTCACCAACGATGTTAGAATAAACCCTCCCTACAAGCTCACTGTTCATAGGCCCCTGCAACGGTTCATTTCCACTGAGGGAACTGCCTCGTTAGAAGACAACCGTTTGAAAACCCTGAACCATGCCAAAGCATTATCCTCGGGACTCCAACACCACGGATCAACCGGACTCTTGCGTCTTGACGATCCTGCGTCTTGCCCGAACACAATTCCTGGAACTCCAACACCGCGAATCAACGTAACTGTCGCACCCTCATTATCCGGAATCTTTCCAATTCACTATTTCTGGTTCGTTGACCATGGGAATCCGTGACACACTTGCAATTTTTAACATTGAATGTGCGCGGCGCTAAGGCGAGAACCACATTTTGAAAACGAACCACCCTCAATCCGTGAAGCTCTTGCGAAATGTTGAAACGTATGTGCGCGGCGCTAAGGCGAGAACCACTTTTGGAAAACGGCCCGTCCTCCATCCGTGAAATTATTGCAAATCTTGCGGCGCAAAGGCGAGAACCACATGTTGATAACGAATCGCCCTCAATCCTTTTTTTTTTTTCGTTCGATCGCGCCTCGGACGCAGAAGTATGCATAGCCGTCTGGGAAGCACTAGCATGGCGGCGAGCTCCTGACATCGGCAATCCTAAACCTACTTGCGACGCCCAGCACAGCGCTGCTAATGAAGAACGCCTGATCACATACACAGTGCGCAAATCAAGTCCTAAATCCACCCTGTGTGGATTATGCCACACTTCCTGAACGTTATGTACAACGAGGTGTCAAGTGTATAAAAGACTAGCAGTGAGCGAGGCCAACGAATCGCCCTCAATCCTTGAGCATCCTGCAATTCTTTAGGACGAATGTGCGCGTCGCTAAGGCGAGAGCCACATTTTGAAAACCACCCACCCTCCATCTGTGAAGCTGTTGCCAATGTTTAAACTTCAGGGTCATTAGTGGTGAGGAAGTCTCAGGCCAAACGCCCCGCCCACCCTTTCGACCGGCCTCGGGGTGCGACAGGGAGAAATTATCTATAAGGGAAAGGAATGGAGGAGGAAGAGGAAGAGGAGAAGGAGGAGGAGGATGAGGAGGAGGAGGAGGGGGAGGAGGAGGGGAGGAGGAGGAGGGGAGGAGGAGGAGGGGAGGGGGAGGACGAGGAGGAGGAGGGAAGGGAGGAGAGGAGGAGGAAGGAGGCGGAGGAGGGATGAGGAGGAAGTTCGACGAGGGGGAGAAGGGGGGGAGGAGGAGGAGGAGGGGGGAGGAGGAGGGAGGAAGGATGAACGAAGAGTTGCCACCCTCGCGTCCTCACCTCTGGCAGAAGACTCTGGATGCTGCGGCAGAAGGAAGAGGGTATAGACGAAATAATGAAGGATGCCTGGCCAAGGAGGTACATACGTAATCACACCCATCCGGGGCCCAGGTTGGGCTTCGCCGGGATTGGCAGCTGACGCGCCCCGGAGAGAGGGGGGGGGAGAGGACGGAAGGGAGGGCGCGAGAGGGGTGACCGGGAGAGGGGACAGGGGCGAGAGATGCTGAGATGGCGAGAGGAGGAGGAGGAAGAGGAGGAGGAGGAAGAGGAGGAGGAGGAGGAGGAGGAGGAGGATGAGGCGGAGGAGGAGGAGGAGGAGGAGGAGGAGGAGGAGGAGGAGGAGGAGGATGAGGATGAGGATGAGGATGAAGATGAGGATGAGGAGGTGGAGGAGGAGGAGGAGGAGGAGGAGGATAGGGCGAGAAGCTCGCCGCGCGAGAGCCCTGGCACGCGCTTTCGCTCACGACCCTGCCGGCGCTGGGCGGGCCTCCTCGGTCGACGGGAACAGCACCTCGGCGCCCCTGCGGTTCGCGAAGTAAATCTTGTCCGAGTACGCCCCCCAGCCGCAGAACCTCTCTCTGGGATGGTAGCGGGCAGGGTTTAGGGTTTAGGGTTGGGCTGGCGCCGCACCCCCCTCCCCTTAGGGTCGATCCCCGCCCTCCACTGCGCGCCGTCCGAGGAGGGCGGCCGACAGCTCGCACAGCCTCCTCCTCCTCCTCCTCCTCCTCCTCCTCCTCCTCCTCTTCTGCCCCCCCCGACCGCCTGCTCCCCCGCCGCAAAATCTGAGGGGGGCAGCGGCCGTGGGGGGGGAGCGCGATGGGGGAGAGGCGGAGGGCAAGGGGGGCGGGCTCGGAGATCGCCGGGGGGGAGGCGTGGACGGGGGAGGGGGGGGGGGACAGGGAGGGGACGGGAGGGGCTCTGGCGGGGGGGGGGAGGGGTGGAAGGGGAGCGAACGAGGGGGGAGGGGAGAAAGAATGAGGGGATCGTGGGGGGAGGAGTCGATGGGGCGTGGAAGCAGGGGAGGCTATGGAGAGGGTGTTTTCTGACGCGGACCGCTGCAAGTGCGCCTGGGCTTGAGGCGCGCAGACGTGCTCTTTCTCCTGCGCCAGCGAGGGTGACGCAGAGGGAAGGTGGCGCAACACGAGCTCGTGCCCAACCACGCTCACCGAGGGAGCCCTCAGCCGGCTCTCTCAGAGGAAGGCCGCGCAGGGCGGCCAGCGTGCGCGTGAGGAGCGCCATCCGAGGCCTCTTCGGGTGCAAGCCTCGATGCGTATGGAGCCACGGGTCGGGCTCGCGGGACCCCGGCACAGACAGCAGCTAATCCCACCCGCCCTCTGGGCTAAGGTGGTCTAGCGAATTCTCTGTCCTGTTCCAAAAACCTCTTCCCTTCCAGGGGGTTTGCCTCCACGCCCCAATCCCTGAGGTTTTTCGGGGGGTCGCGATCGGTCAAGGCGCCCTAGACGGCCCAAGATGGCCTCCGATGCTCCAAGATGGCCTCCAAGATGGCTACAAATAGCCGACGATGGTTCAAGAAAGCTTCCGACATACCTCTAAGATGCCCGACGAGGGCCACAATACGGTTCCAAGTGCGCTCGGAACCCCATCTGGACCCCCCCAAGAGGCCAGACTCCTTCAAACACCGAAGGGCGATCAATGCTTTTTGCATTCTCGCCGTTTCGCTTCCGATGCGCTATTGAGGCCTCAAGAGGGCCTCACGACGTCCCAGGAGAGGTCCAAAATGGGCCCAGGAAGCCCCCCAGACGGCTCCAAGAGCACCCAAGAGCGGCCTAAGAGGGCCCCAAGAGATTTTGATGGCCCTGGGGGGGGGGTACCAAACGCTACGACCCCCCTTCTTTCGATTGATGGCCTCCAAGATAGCCCCAAAAGGTTCCCTAAGGCTCCTAGGGGACTCCCAAGATACCCACAAGATAGCCCTAAGAACCTTCAGAAGAGCCCAAAGAGGACCCCCAAACTCCCCAACAGAGCCCCACGGGGCCTCCAAGAGGCTAGTTTGGGCGCTCTGCCGTCCTCGTTGTCCTCCTCCTCCTCCTCCTCGCCCTCATCATCTTCCTTTCCCTCCTCTTCCTCGTTATTGTGGTGGTTGTCATCGTCGTCGTCGTCCTCTCGGGTTTCCTCCTCCCCCTCCTCCTCCTACTCCTCCTCCTCCTCTTTCCCCCGCCCCCACGCGCGCCCCAGGGATGGCCGAAGAGGCCCTCCAAAGACCCCCCCTCGCTCCCCGAGATCTCTCTGATCACCCTGGTTGCCCACTGGGTTTCACTACATGCCTCTTCGCCCCTTTTCACGTCAACTCTCATGGGCATGGTTTCCGAATCGGCTAGCGGGGATACTTTTTTGTTTTTTAACCGAAATGTGCAAAACCAAATTAGCCTGGCGAAGAACCCAACCATATGCAGTTGTCAGTACCGCAGCTGCGGGCTTCATCTTCAGTGGAACTCCCCATAGGACCACGGAACGTGTGAGGGGTGTGCCGAGATGGGTGCCACTGGGGCATTCGGTGAAGTTCCCTATGGGGACATGAAACACGCGCGGGGCGTGCCGAAATGGGTGGCGGAAACGCATGTGAGGGCCGCCGCTGGGGCCTCCAGTGGAGCTCCCTTTGGGTCCCCGAAACATGATGCTGCTGCGGGGGGGGGGGCCGGGATGGGTGGCGGAGACGCATGTAAGCGCCGCTACTGGGGCCTTCTGTGGAGCTCCCTATGGGGCCACGAAGCGCGTGAGGGGTGTACTGGGATGTGTGGCGGGGACGCATGTGGGCGCCGCCATTGGGGCCTTCGGCGCAGCTCCCTATGGGGCCACGAAACGTGTGAGGGGTGTGCCGAATTGGGTGCGGGTGGTGACGCATGCGGGCGGTGCCAGTGGGGCCTTCGGTGGAGCTCCCTATGGGGCCACGAAACCTGTTGTTGTGAGGGGCGTGTCGGGATGGGTGGCGGGGACGCGTGTGAGCGCGACCGTTGGGGCTTTCGGTGGAGCTCCTGTGGGGCCACGGAACGTGTGAGGGGTGTGCCGAATTGGGTGGGTGTGGGTGACGCATGTGAGCGCCGCCGCTGGGGCCTCCGGTGGATGATGGGGCCACGAAACCTGTGACGGATGTGCCGAAATTGGTGTGCGGGACGCATGCGCATGTGAGCGCCGCCACTGGGGCCTTCGGCGGAGCTCCTATGGGGCCACGAAGCGTGTGAGGGGTGTGCCGACTTGGGTGTGGGTGACGCATGCGGGCGGCAGCACTGGGGCCTTCGGTGGGGCTCCCTATGGGGCCACGAAACGTGTGAGGGGTGTGCCGAATTGGGTGTGGGTGACGCATGCGGGCGGCAGCACTGGGGCCTTCGGCGGAGCTCCTATGGGGCCACGGAACGTGTGAGGGGTGTGCCGAATTGGGTGTGGGTGACGCGGGCGGCAGTACTGGGGCCTTCGGCGGAGCTCCTATGGGGCCACGAAACGTGCGTGGGGGTGTGCCGGATTGGGGTGGTGGGTGACGCATGCGGGCGGCAGCACTGGGGCTTTCGACGGAGCTCCTATGGGCCATGGGGGGGCTGTGCCGAATAGGTTGTGGGTGACGCATGCGGGCGGCAGCCCTGGGGCCTTCGGCGGAGCTCCCTATGGGGCCACGAAGCGTGTGAGGGGTGTGCCGAATTGGGTGTGCGTGACGCATGCGGGCGGCAGCACTGGGGCCTTCGGCGGAGCTCCTATGGGGCCACGAAACGTGTGAGGGGTGTGCCGAATTGGGTGTGCGTGACGCATGCGGGCGGCAGCGCTGGGGCCTTCGGCGGAGCTCCTATGGGGCCACGAAACGTGTGAGGGGTGTGCCGAATTGGGTGTGCGTGACGCATGCGGGCGGCAGCACTGGGGCCTTCGGCGGGGCTCCCTATGGGGCCACGAAACGTGTGAGGGGTGTGCCGAATTGGGTGTGCGTGACGCATGCGGGCGGCAGCACTGGGGCCTGGCGGAGCTTCTATGGGGCGGTGTGAGGGGTGTGCTCCGGGCTAGCGCTGGGGCCTTCGGCGGAGCTCCTACGGCCACGGAACGTGTGAGGGGGTGTGCCGAATTGGGTGTGGGCGAAGCATGCGGGCGGCAGCACTGGGGCCTTCGGCGGAGCTCTATGGGCCACGGAACGTGTGAGGGGTGTGCCGAATTGGGTGTGGGTGACGCATGCGGGCGGCAGAACTGGGGCCTTCGGCGGAGCTCCTATGGGGCCACGAAACGTGTGAAGGGGTGTGCCGAATTGGGTGTGGGTGACGCACGCGGGCGGCAGCATGGGGCCTTCGGCGGAGCTCCTATGGGGCCACGAAACGTGTGAGGGGTGTGCCGAATTGGGTGTGGGTGACGCATGCGGGCGGCAGCATTGGGGCCTTCGGCGGGGCTCCCTATGGAGCTACGAAGCGCTGTACTGGGTGGGTGAAACGCAATGAAACGCAGGGAAGAGGGGGAGGAGGAAGGAGGAGGGAACGCGGGGCACCGTCTCTTCAAAACGAGGGCCCAACACCACAGGATGGTTTGGAAAAACAAAAATTATCCTGGCGAAGAACCCAACCATATGCAATTGTGAATGCTGCAATTGTGAATATCTTGTCGGTGGAGCCCCCTACGGGGCAACGAAACGTGTGAGGGGTGTGCCGAAATGAGTATGCGGGACGCATGCGGGCACACCCACTGGGGCCTTCGGTGGAGCTCCCTATGGGGCCACGAAACGTGTGAGGGGTGTGCCGAAATGGGTGTGCAGGACGCATGCGGGCACACCCACTGGGACCTTCGGCGGAGCTCCCTATGGGGCCACGGAACGCTTGAGAGGCGTGCCGAACTGGGTGTGGCTGACGCATGCTGGCGCTGGCACTGGGGCCTTCGGCGGAGCTCCCTATGGGGCCACGAAGCGTGTGAGGGGTGTGCCGAAATGGGTGTGTGTGTGTGTGTGTGTGTGTGTGTGACGCATGCGGGCGCGGGCACTGGGGCCTTCGGTGGAGCTCCCTATGGAGCCACGAAACGTGTGAGGGGTGTGCCGAAATGGGTGTGGGTGACGCATGCGGGCGCGGGCATTGGGGCCTTCGGTGGAGCTCCCTATGGGGCCACGAAGCGTGTGAGGGGTGTGCCGAAATGGGTGTGGCTGACGCATGCGGGCGCGGGCACTGGGGCCTTCGGTGGAGCTCCCTATGGAGCCACGAAACGTGTGAGGGGTGTGCCGAAATGTGTGTGGCTGACGCATGCGGGCGCGGGCACTGGGGCCTTCGGTGGAGCTCCCTATGGAGCCACGAAACGTGTGAGGGGTGTGCCGAAATGGGTGTGGCTGACGCATGCGGGCGCGGGCACTGGTGCCTTCGGTGGAGCTCCCTATGGAGCCACGAAACGTGTGAGGGGTGTGCCGAAATGGGTGTGGGTGACGCATGCGGGCGCGGGCACTGGGGCCTTCGGTGGAGCTCCCTATGGAGCCACGAAACGTGTGAGGGGTGTGCGAAATGGGTGTGGGTGACGCATGCGGGCGCGGGCACTGGGGCCTTCGGTGGAGCTTCCCAATGGGCCACGAAATAAGTTACGTTGTGAGGGGTGTCCGAAATGGTGTGGC